TGTTTTTGGTGGCTGCATATTCAGACATGGCGTATAAAGTGATTGCAGACGTTCTTTCATTTTGATGTTTCCTTCAGAACTGAGCTGGATTAAAGATCTTAGTTGCATGCCCCACAAGGGTTGTATATTTGAACTGTATTTAGCCCTCTCATAAACAGCAGAATGCTGTTAGTTTTTGCTTGGATCACAATTAAAGCACTCCCATATATCAGACAGTTCCAGTTACACCGATGATATAAAATGACAATATAACGAAAACAAAAATAAGGTTGCTTAGAATAATTAGGCATCGAGTTTTGATTACTTGTGGCACACCTGGTGAATAACTAATTGTACTGAGTTAGAAGATTCCTGATAATAAATCTGTTAAACAATGCCTATTACTTAGCTTTTATTCATTAGATCAGGAGCGATTTGAATTTAATTGCATTTGTTCGATCACTTCATGAGGAATGCACAAAAACAAGCTGGTGGTTGTGAACTTACTGGATTTGAAAGATGGATTTATTCTCCACGCTGTTTTATGAACTTATTTATGTCCCGTAGATCATCTTGTGATCAGGATACATTGGCATTATCGTTTATTTGTGTTTTGAAGTGCAGGCGCATCCAAATACGACCGTGACGTGAATGTTGACTAAATGAATAAATAGATTGCTTGAATTTGTGAATAACCCAGTCGATGTACTCAGCTTTTCACGGTCAATCTGGTTAAACAATAAACACTAGAATTTATTCGGTGATTGTTGTCTCTATATTACAAACAGTCGACGTGTTTGGTAGCCTAACACCCACTTTTAGGACTCTATGTGGATATCTACGCTATCACTACCATATGACGGTATCGGTTTTCAAGTATCCCAACAACAGGAACAACAACACAAAACAACAACAAAAACATCGTAAACAGCAACAATAACAACAGGCTTTGTTCATCACTGAAAAGACGCTTGTGCACCAAGGTAAATCACTAGTAAAACAAAGCTGGGCACAGTCATCACAGAAGCTAATGGTAAAATAGCGGTAGTATCATGCTCGTAATTCAGTCAGTCTTTGTGTATGAGGTGCAGATTTTGCAATGTGAAATTTTTATGAGTACTGCAATAGTGCTTGTATTTGATAAAACAATCAAACAAAGCAGAATAGACCATATACCATTCACAGAAGTATCACCATTAAATCCAACGGAAGTCAGTTTTTTGGCCTTCGGTTTATCGACTGAACAAATTTTATACCTAAAAAATATATCACTACATATCATGTCATTCAGTTCCATTTATTGGGATGAATTGTTCTTTATTCGCATGGTGTGCCGATAATCACCATCCAAGCTCTCACATCGAGGTTTCGTCATCATACCTTTAGATACATCTAATTCAATCCCAACATAAGGCGTTTGAATTGGTCACACGACTACACTGTCAACAGGCACGTCTGAAGGTGCAGATTGACGAATTACGCCAACTGTTGAATCGAATGAAAACTCGAGGTGAACAGTTTGATCAAGAATTCAAAGGTATCGAACTGGAGTTGGATAAATTGGAGTTGCTGACACAAACGGTAAGAAATTTACTCAATGGTAAGAAGTTGTCACGAGCTATACGGATATGGATGCGATTTTTGGATGATATAAATATGTTTGTTTATTATATTCTCAAGTTTCAGTTGGATATCGATATTAAGTTGATTTCAACGAGCTTCTTAGCGATTATTTGATTTCAGTGTTTGAATTCAAACCTCTCTTCGAAGATCGAGGTCTTAAAAAGTGGAGGTCGAATCGCAGTGAGATCTTCGAAGAATCACATATACCTCAAATAACTAATCCAGAAGCAGTACTTTCCTTTTGAGAATTCAAATGAAACCGTTATACATTTATGTAAATCTGTTATAACTTCAAGGGAATTCACCAATTCATTACCACTGGGAAACCCATAGATAGATCCGTGGTTTGGCCTTTANCTTTATACGAGCCCTGTTAGACTCCGTTCATCATAACGCCCGTTCAGTCGAAATTAACTGATTTCACCTTGGATAAGCAGAAATTTGTTAGAGTGAGTAACCGAGGGAGGATGTAGATGTTGCTGGAGTGAGGTGAGGTCGGATCGTTGTGCTCTCTACGCCGCTGAACGTTCATCAAGGGAGTAGGCAAGAATGAACGAACCAGACGGTAATTGACCTTGATCAATCGCGTGAATACACGAGTTACGTGAAGATAGATCGACAACACGCTCATGCATGAGAGTTGAAATGAGTTGTTGTGTGAATGGGTCCAGTCGAGGCCCTCAAAATTCCAGCGAGGGTGTTCCATTGAGGGCAAGAGCCCCTAGAATTTTAAAACCTCATTTCAACCAAAAGAAATAGCCTATATACTTTTGGCATTGAACCTAGTATTTGATAATGGGAATTCACCTTATTCCCTCTGAATAGAAAAAACTAAACTGGAACGCGTTCACTGATTATCGGAGATAAGACTATTTAGAACTATGGAACCCTGAATGACTTACGTATTCTGTCTACACTGTCAATACGAATGATTGTAGAAATTTTACCTCACCCGATTACACCTTCTAGAATCATATACTTTATAAAAACAGACTGATAGTGATAATGAGAACTCGCAGTGAGTCACCATATTACAAAATACGGTAAGTTTATACCTGGTGATTTGTGGGGAGGGAGTATTTGAAGTAAGCACAACATTCAATAAGAACTTTAGGGAAGGCATATTGGACTGTCACAGGTGGTGGAGTATTGCCAGTTTCAGTGCTAACCAATGTTGATCGGTTGAAGTAAACTACTCTTTAACCGGTAATACATGATTTGGTTGAAGCTATCAATATCTGTGTTGATCTCAAGCAGAGATTCGATAAATGAGCGCACAGCAAACAAATGCACTCCATCCGACGAGTTGAACAGCCATACACTGCCCCGGTGAATTCACTTCCTGTGCCAAATCACTACTTGATCAGATTCGCAGAGACTTCATCAAGGGTTAATTCTCCGACTTATTATTGTTATTTGTTCTTTGTGGTTAGGCTCGCTTACGTTGTGAAAAACTCGAAGCCGATCAAATTCGTTCGCGGCAAGCTAAATCCAGACGTCTGGTTCGTGAAGCCCGTCGCAAACAGCGCGAAAGAGCACAACAAAACTGGACCAACTTGCGTGAATTGGTTCTCATAAAACCGAAACAAGAAGAAGAAGAATCAGACCTGGATCCGGATGAGCAGATCCTAAAAGACAAACTGCCAAAATTGAACAGAGCTCCAAGGGTCGATCTGACTCGAAAAAGCACTTGGAGACCATTTTCCACCGAGTCCATTCAGTCAGATATTAGTACTCTGAGTGTCAACCTCAAAGAGATCCAGTCGTGGAAACAACGCCTGACTGAGTTGACGAATGTACGCATTCCTTTTGCTCAACGGAAAAAGAAGGAGGTATTACGAAGGATACAGTGGCTTGAGAGTAAGAAAAAGCAACTGCATATTTTGGAAACACTATTTCGAGATCGAGAAGAGAAGCAGTGCGCAAAAGCTCAGAATGATTTGAAACATTGCGAGTAAGTTCCTATGATTATTGGATATAACAGTAGCATACAGAACCTAATCCTTTTGCAATGTGTTCGTGGGAAAACCTAGTTGCAGTGTTATTGACCCAGCACTATTCTTCAAAGCTAAGTCGCTGCAGTGCTAGAGTGTGGTGGTTTTCTTTGTTGGGTGTTTTGGAACAGTAAGCCATCTCAGAAATTACCGTTGGTCATCAAAAATAACTCTTTTCATTTGTAGAATAAACACAAAGAATGCGTGTTCAATATCCTGTATAACGGATCAAATGATAATGCGACTATATATANATATATATATATATATATATATATATATATATCATGTTCAGATCATTTATTCTTGGCACTCAAGGTCAGGCACGTTTGATTGACAATCACGCAGCCCAGAAACTACGTACTTCGAAGTAGACAAGATATAAATTATTGTCCATGCCTAAAGCATTAATATGGGTGATAAATATAATAAAAGTCCTTTTGATCACAAAGAAAATATTTTAGTGCATCACTGTTTATATATAATCACAACTGAAGCAATCGGTCCCTGTGAGAAACTCGTCGGTTCGTATTGGCAAGAACATTTATACTGAAGTAAATTTTGTTCCAAATAATAATAAACAATACTTGGTGAGTCTTTATAGCCGTGATTTTCCTGATTCTTTGATACGCAGCAGACGGAATGGTTCACGGTGTAGCGGATACTCCCATTTCGTCAGTAGTGGTTAACTTTGACCATGATGAGTTGAGAGGTAACTAAAGAGAATGGAACGGTTTTNGGTTTTTATTTACAACAAATTTACATTGTTAATAATTAGGATGTGAAGTTTGTGTATACTTATAGCTTATTTGTCAACCTTTGTTCTTTAGGACTTTTACCAGTCTGTGCGGCATCGTATTAGGTCGTCCACTTGTTTGAATATATACTTAATCTACGGCCTCCACAAGCTGTTCTGGTTATTTTTTTCTATGTATTATCCTGTAAATTGTTATTTTAATACCGTTAAAGCATATGGCAAGATTTCATGTAGAAAATCCCAGCTTGTGTTCTTGTGCACTTCTGTTTCTTTCCTCTTCGTTAAGATACCGAGAGCTTTTGGTTTCGAGCGCTGCTTACTTCATTATGGTGACTACACTACGAACATTTAAAGCAGTGCACAAAGATGATTTTGATTTCAAGGTTGACTTTGATGAAAATGGTATTTCTCGTATTCATTGAGTTAGCTATCAAACATAGATTAATATTATGAAACCTTATTTATTGCAATTTCTCCATGTTGTGAAAGAATTTAATTTAGTTATCAAATAAAGTTGTTATAATAGATTATATATTATATAAAATAATACCTCATTGTAAATAACTGAGATAACAGGGATTTATGGAAATAATTTAGGGTAATTCTTGAGTCACTCCTATTAGAATATATCACGTTGTCATACTCGATAAAGTTTGCGGTTTTCATGTTGAGGTCATTTATTCTTGATAACCACAGTCAAGCACGTTTAGTTGACAACCATGCAGTCTAGAAACCACGTAGATCAAAGTAAACAAGGTATAAATTATTCTCCATATCTTGAGCATAAATATAGGTGATAAATATAATGAAAACCCATTTGACCATAAAGAAAATAGTGTTGTGCATCACAATCGACCAGTACTGTATATACATATATATTACAATAACTAGCATATGAAGGACTCGACTGAATTCAGTTGGAAGCGCACGACCAGCTTCACTGCTGTTGCCGCTCGTAAGGCATGTGTATTCGGTAATCTTTTGTCAGTTCATTCATATACTCGTACCCAGGAAGTATATTTCAGACACAAATATACTCTTTGCAACACCAGGTGAATTTCATTCGATAGGCCCCTCGTAACCAGTCCATATATGGATCACTACCGAAAGGTACCGGACAGTGTCCCTACAATCATTGAGGTATCAGTGTATGCATGTGTGCGGTTCATTAGGATGTTTCTTTTTGGTTGGCTTAGAATCAAGATTATTAGTCACCTACCCTAGGGGAATAGACAAAGCTTCTCTATGCCTTTTGTTTCAGTTACCACTTGTGATTGTTATCACAAGCTTAGATACTCTCATTATTGGATTGGGTTTTAGATCCATGGTACAGTCTGTGTAACTTTGTGGAACTTAATTAAGTAGTAGTCTTAAAAACAATGGAATGTACTTTTCGACAACGAAAATCAACACATTGGTAATCTCCTAAAAATCGGAAGCAAAGTAAATATAATTTACAGTTTATTTGTCCTTTTGATCCCAAATCGATAACCTTTTTGGAGCATTGCTAACATGTAGTTTTCATTATCTCCGTAAGCATGCATCCTATTCTCCTTTGTTGCCTGTCAGGTCGATGATACAAAAAGTGGATAAAGCCATTTTGATTCTTCAGCATCTTCAAAGTTTGAAAGCCAGCCAAAGTATCGTTCGGAACATTGCTCACAATATAGAACTAAAACAAGTCACCGAAGTGCTCAGTGCTAGTTCAACTACCAAACGGTTCACTAAGAAAACAACAACTGCCTGGGATTACAGTGAGTTTTCGTTGTGGATTGTGTTGCGGCAAATGCAACACGAGGTATTTGTCTACTCGTGAGTAGTACAAACCAATACGTAAAATTCGCGCCATTGGAACGCCAGCTTTTCCATGCATTGCTCTGCTGACTTGACTTCTTTACATTCATGCCTTAAGAAATTATGGTTTCATGGAACGATCGAAACCATGCATAGTTGTTGCCACTTGAGTGAAATTCATGAAGGTAGTGAAGAACACAATGTCAATCTTATGTAAATCTACAACTCCTAAACAAAGAGGGATAGCGTTTGATTCGGTTGGATTACTACTTGAAGTATTCAGTGGACATAAGCATTTCTCCATTCTAGAAAATGTCTATTTTTTCTCAACGTTTTCCACGTATTGGTTCACATTTTTTTCGCCTCTGTCAACCGTTAAGTATCAACGATCGTTTCGCAGTCAATGCGCATTGGAAGTATAGCCAATAACTTATAGAGTAGATAAACACTTATGATACGCATATAGCATAAAGTATAAATTCAAATCAGTTGTGTTCAGTTCTCCCAGGACGAAGTGTGGCTCTTGCCAATCGCGCGTCCAGTTCTTTGTGTTGTCGGCGGTTCCGTTGGCTTCCAACACTTTGAGTCAATAGTAGTTTCTGAAAGGCAGAATGTTTGTGTGCAATATCAGATCCCTTATATTATTTCGGAAAGTAAAGCCTAACGATTAACTTTCGACACTCAACTTCAGGGAATACCACTGCCCAGCATTCATCTAGCCTTCTCTTGAAAGATCCGACATTAATACAGTTAACCACTGCTTCAGGTAGTTTATTCCACAGTGGTATAACTCTGTTTGTGAAGAACCTAGCTCGCAAAGTTAGTCTACAATGACTTCTTTCCAATCTGAGTTGATGGCCCCTCGTGCCCCTGGCAGGAACATCCAAAACCTTCGGTGATCTGTGAAGAAGTACTTCTTTGTGTGCATAGGTACTCATTGTGGCCGTGAAAAATATTTATTACTGGGCCAAAATGAACACAGAGATGAAATGAAAACTGATTATATATGCCCCAAAAATGTCGAATAATTGCATCAATTGACTAGATTCAATGACTATCAGTAATCAGCTGTGACACAGGATTGTCAAACGTGATTTAAATTAAATGCTTGGCTAATTTCAGAGGTGCTTTCATCACTTGCAGTGAACTGTGCCTAAACAATTTGGTGGATATGCACCAGTTTGCAGTTCAGTAGTAATAATTGTCCTATTCATGTGGGGTCCTCGCAAATGTTAACCAATGAGAGGATCATCCAGGAACAATTTATGCTGCAATATCAAACTTTAAAATACAAGTTGATTTTTCGCAAAGTGATGTGCTCATTTGTCGTCGTTCATTTTCACTACCAGGTGAAACCGCTGAAGCCAAAACATTACAACGCGCTCTAAGAATAACTGCTCGGCATATTGGATCAGACTGGCGAACACTGTTCTACAATTTACCATTTAATCCGTCCAGAGGTAATGTGGAACTGGAGGAGCTTTTGCGAACTTTGTGTCAAACCATGGTAAGAGTTTTCCGCAATATATTTGTCTTACCAGGAATGGAAGAGCGATACATGGCGTTTAGTTCGCGTAGACAAACAGGAATTCTATTGATACCAAAATTGGGTGAACCATAACTTCACAACTGCTCCTTTTTTGTCCTCATATAGCCAGAAGTGAAATGAACAAAACAAACATTGGTTGAAACAAGTTACGATTATCAGCAGTAGATCGAATCGCACTTTCATCACGCCAAACACCGAAAGCTAGGAGTAGCACTTTGATTGTGCTGCAGCTTGGGAGCACCCAAGACACAAGGAAACTCATTATTCATTGATCACAGCGACGAACCTGTGATTTAAGGTGATTTTATTTGCTAAATTCTATAAACTGCGGTTTTCCTCAAACCGGACGAACGAGATTTTAGTCAGACGACCGAGTATTGAAAGCATTGTGCACGTGATATTCTGCATGCTTCACAGTCAGCAGAGTAACAGCTCTATCAGATTCCTCATGTGCAAGTAAAGCACAATGTGAGATCCTTGAATATTGTTAATCAACGTTCAGAAGTTTGAGGTTCAGCTTAAAAAATCAATGTGTTAAACACCAAACGGATCTACAGTAGACACCGATTGCGCTGCATAAAAAAATTTCTAAATCAAATATTTTAGTATCCTAACATATTTTAACTGCTTTGTCTTCCACAGATATGGATGCCTTATTCTTAACTTGCTCGTAGTTAAGTCGTTTTAAGGCCGCCTTAGCAATATTCAAGTACATGCGATCTTGAGGAAATGTAAAATCNNNAAAATCAACCGAGCATAAAATCCGTTGACCTGACCGGCTGGGCAGATACCAGATATGTGGTTTTCAGTTTCCCATGAACTCAGCTTTACAGCCATTGAGACATCCAAAAATATGTCTCTCTAAAAACACAGTAGACTTTTTTATTCGGGGAATTTCTAGCAGATGTAGGAGATTGTTTAGTCCCGTTGATTGATAACTAGTATAGAAGCAGAGACATTTTTATCAGAGTTGAGGCCAAGGTATGGACCAAACTCGTGGAACATCCTGGTTTTCATTACATCTGTTACTCTGAATGATACGTTTTTCCAGCCTCATTCATGTGATTGAACATGATTGTGCCCCACATCAGAGGCAACATATCTGATATAATACCCACTAATGTCTTTAATTCCATTAGCCACGTGCCTTTAAATTGTACGATTTTGCGATTTGGACGATGGGTGCATTTGCATCAGTTGTAAAATCACAAAATCACATTAGAAAACGTATCTGGAATTTATTTAATAAAATGACTCATAGACTTCTTGTAGGTATTGAACTTTCATCTCATCCATATTCCATTTGCCCTTCTTCATATTTTTGAGCACTGCAGGCAGCCGCTTTAACAAGAAAAGTTCCAGGTTGACTGTCAAAAATAATTTGCAAGTTTCCTGTGGTACGCCGCATACCCTAACCAGTGTCGAGAAAGCTAATTTATCCCTGTTTCTGATACAGGCGAAAGTTTTCAAATAAATTAAACTTCCAGCAGCTGAGGGGTGATTGAACGAATCTGACATTAAACTTGAGTCCTCCAAAGACTGTATAGATGTAGAAAAATGATATTTAATTAAGTCTAACGGTTTTCTACTACAAACCTCAAATTAAAAGATATCCCAACCTTCATCGGCAAAAAATGTGATTTACGCAAATGCATTTGAAGTGTAGCAGTTACCTATAACCTCCCTTATTAGTGAAAAACATTTTGCGATATTCAGGTTGGTGTGTGCAGAATATCAATATCAAGGTACCCTGTATTTACTTTCGTTCTAACTCGTCAGGCGCGAGGAATATTTATTTCTTGTAACAGGTAAAACAAAAATCATTTGAAAACTAACTTAGTAGATTAGCTTTTAACTCATGCTGTTTACTCGTTGTGCACCAGCGCGATAAACTCATTGCCAAATGGACAAGCGATACGATATAAATTTGCTGGTAAAATCAATACGTCCTCTGCTTTGTTGGACGATCCATAACAGCTTCAAATTACGTGACCTTAGTTGTATTTTAAATTGAGCTACCATTTTCCAAACGAAATCGCGAGGGGAAACGGCTAATCAGCCCGGACTATCCTCCATATTGGTTTTGTCCAGTTGATCTCTTCTTCAGTCAAACAAAACTATCGTCTTGCTTTGATATGATAGGTTTTCTCCCTATCATTTAATGTTTTGATGGAGACATTTCGCTGAATATGCAACAAATTGGACTTATGTTTACATCGAAGCACTTCAACAAGACACCAAATGAGTTACGGATTGATGCGCCTGGATTAAGTTACTTGTAGGCTTCAATTTGTACCAAATGTTTTGGAATTCTTCAACCAGTTTGGGTGTGATAACACTACAAGACGCTAATTTAACAAGCCCCACACCTCTAGGTCAACTTTCGAAGTTCGACTTTTATGTTTCTTGAACTATGTTCTCAGTTTTTTCAGTATTGTGAATAAAGTGTGAGTAGTTGACAGCCAAGAAATTTATCAATTTATTTAAGCTGGAATATTTTCATTAATTTGCTTATTTACTGTGCACTGAATGAAAAGAGATGAGTAATTTAGAATACGCTTGCTCAACTTAATGAACACTCTCATGGAACAAGTATCATGTATTAAAAAGAATGAATTCTCATGCCGGTTTAAGTAAAATATTTTCAAAATCTCAAATGTAACTTTTGAACTACTACTAATTTTATCGCAGCACTCAAGGTAACGTAAATTCAAACGGTGGTAGGAGAGAACTAAGAACATAGATGTGAGAGATAAAATCAGAAATAAATACACTTTACCCATAACCATCAATATACAAGTATGACATTGGAGACTGAAATGTATTTCCAAAATGAGAGTGATGTTGCACGAGTTTGATCAACACCTGCATAGTCATTTTAAGATGGTTTGTTTAGTATTCATCATATTATCAGGATACCAAAGCAAATACCGTCTAAAAGTGGATGTTAATCCTACCCCGATGTAGAGGCAAATAATTTGCACATTGAAGTCTAGCCACCGCTTCGACTTATATATGAAAACATTTTTCACAGAAAGGATAAACGGGGAAAGATAAACAAAAACAACGTACAGAGGGAGAAAATAGGGCAGTTTGAAAACAAATACAAGTTTATTCGAACTGCTCTAAAAACCATAACGGAAAACGTAAATCAGACCGGAAATAATTAGTTTGTGAAAATTTTGCTCCTCGACAGATCACAGGGGGTAAATGCGACTATCCACTAGAATTATTAGCCTTTTTATCTTGTCTAGCGGAAATGCACACGCAGGGGTGACACACCTCTCAATAAGCTGAAATGATAGAAAACCGACAATATATTTGAAAATTTTATGAATACCGCAGAAAAGTCCAGTCTCAGTAGTGGTTGTGGTGACCCTACTATAATCTCGCCCTCTCTTTACGAATGCTCAAACTCCCTGATACGCAAAAGTTTCATGCGTTTTGATCCATTAAAATTCACCTCTGCGAATCTCATGTAAGTGGTGAAATTTGCTTTGTGTTAGTAACAATTTTAAAGGAAGCAAAACACTCAGGCGAAAAATAGAACTTTGCTTACTGTGCAACTGCTGCAAGCTGACAATGCAACATTAGAAATTTTGACATGCTTAGCAGACTCAACGTATCCAATGGTTTTAGCCCAAGTGGTTTAACGGGAAATCATGGGAAAACCTTCCACATCCGAAAGGATATAAAAAAGCTAAGTTAGGATGAAACAGAGAATTTAACCTTTTTCGTGAATTATACAAAGGCATGCAGTGTAATTATGAATAGAAATACTTAGAGGTAACATTTGGCGTACATTTTCTCTCATAAAACGTGATCTGTTTTCACATGTTCACTAGTTAAATATGCATTCTTCTAAACTTGTGCATTTTTTTCCTTGTTCATAGAAAAGCCTCTATCATCAATGTGCATCTCCATTCCTTGGTTTGCAAACGTACGTAACCACTGATTAAATGGTAGCAGCGAATTAACGAAGCACCCAGATAGTTTGTAGTTTAAGTATCACGATGTGATTCGCATGACACGCATTGGTTCCAAACAGGTGTATGCAGGGATATCAGTTTCCATAATAAGTTAAGTTACAGCACTGGTTCCCTTGACCATTTCAAACTAGTTCATTCGTTTAAACACCAGTTGACATGTAATCTTACTACCAATGTAGGCTTTCTCAAAAATTAACCGGGATTTGTAAGGACGGATCATACAAAGTACCAGAAGAATCGCCTAAACATCAATTCTGGGCATGTGCCATACAAAAGAATCTGGCTTCGATTGATCAATCATGTACTTTAAATGATAAAAAAAATTAGGACTACTTGCTATGTGATTAGTTTGAGTTAAGCGTTTGTCTAATTTCAAAATAACTCATCGAAATGTTTTGTTTTGCATTAAATACAAATCAGTCGTGGGCAAGGAGGTGAACAGATGCATTTGAGAGATTGGAATATTATCACTAATTATCTAATCTCAATGGAGAATCAGCGGAAATCCAACTACTTACAACGAACTCAGATATTTCCACTTGACTCAGGTGTTTTTCGAAAGATGAGGAATTTATCAGACCTTTAGTTTTTTCTTTTTTTAGGATAATGTTCACTCAAAACAATCACATAAACAACTCAAATTTCATCTTCATCATCAACAGCAGCAACAGAATTGTGTAGATTGTGTAGAACAGACAAGCACAATGGGATGAGCAAAGGAAATGCAATTAACACGTTCTTCTAAGTGTTGCGCCTTGTTTACGAGGGAGGCTTTCAACTTGTTTAATTGTTTTCCGAGTGTAATTAACTGGGTGATTGATGTTCTGCTTGGCTGTAAAGAGCAGGTTAGCAATAAATCGATCCATTTCGTTATCACCTCTCTTCTTGTAAGTTCTCAATGTTTCAGTAACTTATACGTCCGAACCAAATGATCGTTTTATTCAAGTGGTTGAAAAGATTCATTTGAACAGGAGTTATGCCGACAGATGGCTTACTCGCCCCTTATGGGTGGCGATGCAGGAGAAACCAGTATAAATTGTAAGCTGTAAATAACGGTCTCTTTTATCGCAGGAAACACCATACTCTCTTTTTCAATGGTCAGTCAACGATCTTTTGATTGGTTATATTTATATATATTGATTATATATATGAATTGGTTATTCAATTGCTGATGCAGAAAATGTAATCTAATATGACTTATATTAAATGAGAGTATTAGAGGATATAAGTTGGTCATGTTGTGCAGTGCAAATGGAGCATGAACTGAAAACACAAAGAAGAACTGGATAACTGTTTCGACCTGATCGAGTGTCCCCAAAATTGCGAGTTCATGGACTCACCTGAGGATTCAGTGCAAACTTTCACAGCCAGAAAGTTACCATACTACCAACTGAAATGTCAGGCTGCTGATCAAATCGTTTGTAATTTCGCGTATGTATCAAAGTCACATGCTTTTCGGTATTTTTTTGCAAGGATGAGCATGATGGAACTTGCCTCCAGGGTTAGTGGTTGGTTGTAAACATTTGGAACATGTTTGCTTGATAAATGAATGGATAGTTTGAGTAAAAAATATCTGATCAGTTAGCTGATCGGTGGTTAGGTTTGCAATATGCTTTCGTCCTACTTGTGAGGTCCCGGATTCGATTTTCAGTTGGTTCGATATTATAAACAGCTGTACATATTCTCTGAGCTTTTCGGTTTACTCTCCGTTTGGGCCGTAAACCGTGAGATCCCCTTAATAACTGATGTTCATGAAAGAATATTTTGTCATCAGTGAAAACAAACAAACTAGACCCTGATTGAATAAGACTGTTGTGAGTGAAGAGAATAAAACTTTCAATTTAAGAAATCCCAATGACAAGTTGGATTTTCTCGGCATCAATTTTCTGTTCCCTAAGTAAGCAGAACATTCTAAATAGACACCAGTAAATGTTGAATTGACACCAGGTCATATTAATCCGATTCTGGGACATCTTTAGTTCAAACCTTCATACACAATTCTAACGGGACTGTTATCCCTAATCCGAAATACAACGATAGTTACAGTGTATAGTTACTTTACAGGTAGTAATACTGCCTCTTCACGACAAGTAGAATAGATCAAGTTGAACCCAGTTGAGGAGCCGTGATAAAGGTCATTCAGAGATGATTACGTCATATCCCACGATTGGTGCCATTTACCGAGGCTGATCTTTGCTGTAACCTCATGTTATTTGGTTTTTGTACTCAGAGGTTGCGAGCAGCCTTTATCATCAATGTTTTTCACAGTATACGAACTTTATTTTTCCAATGCAACGGTAAACGGATGGTACGATCAGGTGTCATAAATAAAGCAATATGTACACACACAGGATAGTTGTTCCTTAGAAAGTATGAAGAAAGGTTCTGCAACTACTGGTTAATCAACTACGAAAAGAAGTGATTGAGAATGATGGAGTGCTTTATTTTATTAACTGCGATGATTTCCTTGTGTAAATGACACATGAGCTAAAAAATACTGGGAAGAAACGGAGAGCTGTTTCGTCCTGGTTGGGTTCGATCCCAAGTTGAGTCCATGGATTTACACCAATGATGAGACCAAATCAGGATGAAATAGCTGTCCAGTGTTTTCCAGCTTTTCAGCTCATACTTCCGTTATACGATGAATTCATCACTTTCATTAAATGTGTCGACATCAGCCGATATTTGAGAGGGTCGAATTCTGTTCAGAAATCAATTCAGTGTCCGTTAGTAGTATGAGTTCAAAACGGTATTGAAAAGGTGCAGATTGAACTTCCAGATCACTTGAAAGATTCGAAATTGACTCCTCTTAGCCCATTTCCAAACTGTTTTTACGTTAGGAGTACAAGCAGTTGCAAGTATCATAAATTAGACCGGAGAGTGTTCAAAATGAAAAGGGATCGAGAGTTGTAATTGAGTGGATAATAGAATAGACGAAACAAGATCATGTAATTACTCAGGGATTTACGCATTTATATTTTGTTTTTTTATGCAAAACATTGTGTACTTTGAGAGAACTGACTCATAGAACTTAAAGAGATACACCTGTGTTAATCAAACGGTTGTGACATGACTTTCGCACGGAAATATATTTCAGTTTTTCCAACAGTACATTTGCTCATCGATAGCCATAGAAAAATAGTATTCATCCCAAACGCTTTGCTTCATTGCAATATTCTTACTTCTCTTTTACCACTAGTTGAATTGAAGCAAACTTGAAAGACAGAATAAACTCATATCAGATTAAAAGTCATACGTCAAGTTTTGGTTCAAAATTGCAAAATATTAGACGTGATTTAAAACAAAATTGCAATATTGCTACTAAGTGATTAGCTATTCAAGAGGACGTCTATTCTGGTCAATCTCAGTATTCTGGGTAAAATATTATTCATACGACACACAGAAAGCGTACTGTCGACCGAAAATATTCCATCATATGTTTTCATTTTAATGAAAACATTGTATGATTACAAAACACGCACGCAAACTCTCCAATCGTGAAGGAAGTAGAGGTAAATTCCAAAAACGTGAAAACTAACCTTCAAAGACCAATTTTGATGTAGGCGACTGAATGAATAGGCAAATCTTAACTGTATCATACCAAAAGTCAATGAAACATTCAAGAGCTTTTGCCGTAGGAAGTGTATAAGTTTCTAACTTATTAAGTTGCTTCTGTGCAAACATAACCATAGTTTATTTAATAATCAAAGGAATACGCCCAGCAACACCGAGAAAGAAAAACGAACGAACCGAAGCAAGCAGATGATTACCGTTCCTTGCAAGTAATAATTATTAACGTGGATAGTCTGAAAGAATTTCCTGGAATTTCAACGTGCCTGTGTTGGGAAAACAATGACTATATTCGAACTGGAGCTGAGTTTAGCTAACAGGGAGTCGTTAATCATCGCCCAACAAAGGAGGGTATACTTGAACTTAAAAAAATGGTGAGCTTGCATCGACCGCCCTTTTAGTGTTTAGCCAATTTGACTGATGAATATTTAGTAGTTGAAGGATACAAAACTTAGTTTTTAGACGACATTCATACTACCGTTTCCCAGAAGTAAATATGAGTCCTGATTATTCATGGAGATTTAGGATAGAGCCCTCTGTGATTAACCTCCCGTACCCTGGATAAGTGGAAAGTTTGTTGCAATGATCGTGCAGGTTCGTGAGGACTACCACTTTTGCAACGCAATTGAAAAAGCCATCTCTCTGAACATAATGTCTCACGTAAAATTTACCGCAGAAATTTATTGGACGTCATTAGATAGTGTTTTCTGCTATTTAGATAATTTCTTGATTGGATATTTTCAAAATCGAATTCATTCAGCCCCACTTCCCCAACTGAAAGGATCCCAATACCCAATAACAATGATAACTTGAAGTTGTTCTGGATACCTGTTTCATCTGTGTGTAGGAAGAGTGATTATCGAAAACAAAACCAATTCCATCAATTCGGAATAAGAAAAAAACATCAATAAATTACGTAACCGCATAAACTTCATCAGTAAACTATGTGTAATCTGATACATGTTCGTGCCTTGCATCAATTTGTATCGAGACTAAGCGTCATTTTGCATTCGCTGTTTTTTCTCAGACTCGGGCAAATGAGAATCAACTGAAGCTGGCTGCCCTAAAACTCTGGTCCAAGCAGACCAAGTACGCAAACCCTGGTATTTTAAGCGACACCCTGAAACATATCGGACGAATAAGTTTGGCTGAACGCATCAAACGACTTCAAAAATCGCCTGGTCCAGATACGACAACCTATGGTCTCGGGCGAAGTGATTCGCAAGACAAAAACGCCTATCGATTGAATGTGCCTTTGTCCGCAATATCACGTGCTATCCAACGCGTGATGGGGTCACCCAGATCAATGGAGAACAACATCTCTGGATCCCTGCCCGACAAAATATCATTAAGACCTCGCTGGATTGGACTCCCAGTAGCAATTACACACCCTTGTGAGAAAGCTTGTGCCCACTGAGAGTTGCATTTCAACGGGTGGCGCAAAGCAATCAAACCAGAAAAATGTGTTGCACTTCATTTTAGTGGATTGTGTGGGAATTCCAAACAGGATTTGATGACAGAACACTGCTCATCGAAATGCAATACTCGCGGGTATATGAATCACATAAGTTGCACTGTTTTGCATCATGTCTATTGAGTGATATGATGAATCCCTTAACTTATGGAACTTAGTAAATGAAAAATTCCCATTGCCACATTGAAAACAAAGTCCGGTAGGCGAAACAAGCTGTTTTTCGATAAATTCATCAACGGGCCATTACAATTATATACGGTTATTTATGTTCGTCGATCTGGTTTCGATCGCATCAGACTAGGTACAGAGAGTATGCTACGATTGTTTACCTGATATTCATCCCGATTAGTTCGTTGGTGCGCCCCCTTATGGAACTTAAACAATTACAAGGCACATTTTGTTTTAGTTTCATTCATAAAACTTCATATAATCGCGTATCGTTAAAACAGACTAAACTTTGAACGATGTGATCAGAGTTACACAGTAAAGAGTAATAACCACTCAGATTCCAGAAGGAGTCATCTGAAAATCATTTAAACCAATCGGAATTAAGTTCATCTCGCGTTTGATTCGACCCATGTGAAACTGTGACCTTCGTCAGATATCTTTTTCTTACGACTAGTAATTTGAGCCTCGTTCACGGGAATGACTATGGTATTTTCTCACACCAGATATTTCAACATATCTTTAATAGTATCCATTAAGGTTTCTGCTTGGATTTGTAGAATGCTTCGTAAAGTCACTATTTCTCGAATTCGCCGTTCCTTGATGCCGCGTAATTTGTAAGGTGTCCGAATATCAGTACAACCATGAGAAATAATCAATCAAAATAACCGATGTGCATGCCACAGATTTTGAAATTTCATGTTCTCAATGCTCTTTGGACCATTCTCTAATTTTGAGCACTGACTTTAGTTCCTTTGTACAGGGTTAGAATCACTACCTTTATCAGTAACCATTTGTGTGGAAGTATGATATTGGAAATCGAGGTATACCACTGAATTGTGGCTTACACTGCACTAGTTTGACCGATTCGTGTATTCAAGTTACGCTCAGCAATCCAGCAACGTCAAATCTTACGTGCGTGAGACAAAATCTCTTCAAAGGTGGTTTTCAACTGAGTGCTTATTTCGTAATAAACCTTATGGTATTCAATTGTTTGACTTTTGTGTGGAATGGAATATATTTCTAAATATGTACTCGTTCATTGATTTATTGATTCTGATTAGAACTTTGGCTTGGACTAAACAACATTTGTTTTCAAAGTACCATGCACAAAAGATACTTTGCATGGGCCATTCAAATACCCTGGAATGACCAAGAAAGTATGACTGATCTATGCAACTGCGTATAAATGGGTAATATGTGCGTATATATCTGCGATAGACGAGTACCACAGTACATCTGCGGATTTCTGACCACGATACTTGCCTGCATTGCGAGTATGTATATGAATAACCAGTGCGTTACTTCCTCCCTCGGACAGTTGAGTCGTAAATGTCAGAATCTGACTGATAGGAACATCATGCACGAATAGACATGACTAATCTATTATATGTATTCCTTGGCTCATTCACCGTTTATCATGTTTGGAAGTATTTGATGAGAAATACGGGTTGGGGCATGTGAAATTTGATGATCAAGTGGAGTGTTGCAAGCATTAAATGACAGAGGACACACTGGTGGATATTCACGCGAGATTTTGCAGACCCGTTGTGTGGTCAAATTGTAATTGCGTGCGAGGATAACAGATCACTGCAATTATGTATCTCCTTTGGGTCATGAACTAACTGTGATCAAGTGTCCCTGGTTGAATCTTTTAATCATTGAGGAACAGTGCTAGCCGTTTCTGTGGGGAGATTTTTGTAAATTAGGCAGCAGAAAAACAAGCAAACCGCAAATAACAAACTAATAAGTATATCATAATAAGTAACGCATGTAATCAAACATCAGCATGTATGCCATCACACGAGTAATGTAATATCAGCTAGTCCGATTTTATCTATAAAGGTTTTCTGATGTATAGACGGAATACGCCATAATACAAAAGCCACTATGAAAAGAAATGTGAAACTGAATAAGATCAAGCTGTTTAGAGGATGATATCGTCTTTTCGTTGTCTAGAGAAGTTCCTGGGGCAAACACAATGGAATTGAATGTTCCCTCAAGTATATTGTTGGAGATCAACCAGTTTTTGAAGCTACATGTCCGGAAGATCACCAGTCTAGTATTACCCATGTCAAAAGTCCTCGAATGTCTTCGTATTCGAAGTACCACCGGTACCATTCCATGATCGAATCCAAAATCAACAGACCCGGCAGGTATATGTCACGATTAGAATCACGTGTTTGCACTTAAGAACGGTGTTTTTAATTCATCACAGTGTAAAAAAGAGCAAAAAATAAAAACCTTATCAATTTAAACATAAGGTAATATCTATATATATGTTCTGCACGCAACGGTGGTTTCTATAATGGATTCATGGATGGTCGCTAAACAATTCAGAAGAAACCATATTTTTGTCAATTCAATGCTAGCTTCTGCATGATAATCAACAGAAATGATTGGCTAGCCGTTTCGTCTCAGTTTAAATGCATCATAATCAGGATTAATGTAAAAAATTCCACGCCCCTTGCCTTTGTCACTTTGTAACGTCCAGTGCATAAACAAACCAAGTGACGCAATGCTAAACCTTCATCACATCGAGATCTTCCCTTATCAGTTGAACATCTTCTTTAACGAACTTGACTCCATCACAGTTACGGGGACTACGTCTAAATCAGACGATCAACATACACTCATTTCGGTTATCGGATACAAAGAACATAGTTCATACAGGAGGCGTCTGACCGATTTCGTTCAAAACAAACCTCACACCCTTAGCTTCTAATCCTACCAGTGAGCTTCACTTTCTCATTAAGTAATCAAACATGTTCCGCTTAGCACCAAGGTATAAAGCAGCACA